AAGGCCTTGAGTTGTTCGCAACTTCTGGCTCTCGAGCAGATTTTGGACATACCGAGACAAACTGAGGCTCATTCAGACGTACCGCTGCTGAAGACACACAGGATGTAGAAGGCGGGGGAGGACGGCGTTGATGGGGAAGGTTTGACGTGAGGAAGAGTCTGATGGGAGATGAAAGAAACAGAGGAGAGGTGGAGCGAGAGAGAGAGAGCACATCTGGAAATAATTGAAGGCGCTCAGCCTGACAGGCACATGCTTCAGCAACAAAAAGAACACGTACTAGAACCCTGCATGCAAACGTGTCTGTGTAACCCCCCACCCCATGTCAAAACACCTAATCTGATGGGTAAGACCCCCTGGGATTCTTCGTTACCCCTCGCACTACGCTGACGGCTTACTGACCCCACCGTGGCTGAGATCAAAAGGCAAAAAGTGAAATTAAAAAAAGTTCCAGTTTTGATTCTTTAGACCAGTGAGTGCCAAACCTTTCAGCTTCCCACCCACAAAATATCAGCAGAGACTTGTGATCCCAACCGGCTGTGGTGAAGTCTGCAACATCAATAGTGTCAAATAAAGACCCAACAACACAAACAACCAAGACTCCAGGTGACGCTTTATTTTTCCTGAAATCTCAAAACGTCAAACTTAGTGTTGCGCAGTGTTCCCTCTAATTTTTCATGTGTCTGGGCCCCTGAGCTCCCTGAGCACACAGAGGACCACTGTGAGCAACATCCCTATCGTATCATTGGCTGGACACCTGTCACTCACTGAGTTACATTACAAAATTGTAAAGAAATACATGTTATTGGTCTAATTCATTGACAGTTTATGTTGAATTTTATTTTAAGCGCTGCATCAATGGGTGGACTGGGACAATAATCCCGGCTGGGAATTTGATACCATCCCAGACGACCACCACCCGATTAACGCAAACCACCAAGACGGAGTTAAGTTGAGCGCACTTTGACCACCATATGTGTACTTGGTTAGCAATACGTTAGCCATTGGTGTCAGAAGCATTTGTTTGTAATGTGGGGGGGACACACTGGTGGGGGCAGGGACAGGGGGTCCTCCCCCAGAACATTTTGAATAAAGTAGATGCCATTTCCTGCATTCTGGTGTATTTTAACGGTTGTTTAACATCTAGTTTTACCTACACAAGTAACACTTGATTCAATAACTATTATAGAGTTAATGGCACAACAAGAAGTAGCCTGACCAACAGCTCTCCTTGTGTGGATAGAGCACGCTCTGCTTCTCTCACACATCCTAGCCAGTTGCAGGGTCAATAGACAAACATGTAGCATTAACACAGTATGAACAACATTCAGGAATTGTTTCTATAAAAACATTATCAAATATTTTATATGAACAGTAGGATCGCTCTGCCCACGAGGAAATGTAACCAACCTCGGACTAACAAACAAACAAAGATAGCTGCAATGGTGGAGGTAATAAAGCTCACAGCGTTACCTGAGGCATTTAATGAGGCATTTATGCCTCATCAGCCAAAATTAAGGCAAATAATGTTTTCATGCCTCAAAGTGACACAGGGCAAGAACTCACAGTGAAATTCAGTATGTAAGCGTGTAAACTTTTACTTTAAACAACCTATTAAACACTTTGTACAAAATCAGTTTACTGTAGTTTTAGCAAAGACTAAACTTATGCAACCAGAAGTTACAACATATATCTACATACAAAACACACAAAACAAAGCACAACTAGCTTTAAGTATTAACATTTAATTTAAGCACTAAGCATACGATGTAATTATGACAAATAATTTAGGATTTAACTGCAATTACCTTCAGACAGATGAACATGTGGTACTTCCTGTTTAGTTTTTTTTTTATTTAGGGGTGCTTGAGCACCACCCCAAAATAGGCTAAAATCGCAACTGCGTACAGATGCGTGCACGAACATAACATATAACCCTTGTGAGCATGAGTCATTACCGGCTATGGGGGCTGTTGTGTGTCGTCTCTGCTGTGACAGACTTGGGGAGGGAGGCGAGGGTGTCTGTCTTCCCCCTCACTGCTGCCGTCTGTGGGAGCTTCAGTGAGGCGGATTCCTGAGTGAGCGGCATGGATTATTTATTTAAAATAATCAGTGGTGGAGAAAGTACTCAAACACTGTACTTAAGTAAAAGTACAAATAAACAGACAAAAATGTACTCTAGTAAAAGTAGAAGTACCACATTAACATTTTTTACTTAAGTAAAAATAAATAAGTACTTGCTTTTAAAAATACTTAAAGTATTAAAAGTAAAAGTACTTGCTGAATGTATTACCTAATGCAATGGTCTACAATATCATTAAATGTACCAACCATATGTATATTTTCTGTCATACATTAACAGTGTTGTGCCATTTTAATGAACAATGCTGCAGATAATACATGTTTTTATTGTGTTTACTCTGTGACACAGTGCACACTTGGACTTGTGATTCTGTGCGTCAGAATTTCAGGGATGACATGCAGAGTTAAATGTCATTAAGCAAAATAAGAAAGAGGGATGATTATATGTTTGAAAGTTTTTATTTAACACAAATCAAAACCAATGTGTCATTTTAACTGCAGTAAACACATTTAAGTTTTTTACTTTTACTTTTCTTTCAACCTCTATATAAAGGTTGAATGAAAAGTAAAAGTTGTCTGCCTGCAAAAAGAGAGCATTAGACCTAACAAAGGAATAGGCAACGATCATTTCAACTCCAGTTTGTCATCAACTCTAGTTAAAATATTGTCTATTCAACCTTGTAATGGGTCAATATTGAAAAATATTTTAACTTCCTGACACCATTTTCAAAACTTGGACCCGAGTGTCGAGACACTTGGAGACATCTCTTGTCTCCTAACATCCCATGAACTGACACATTTTAATATTGTGGCAAGAATTTCTTGTTCAAGTTCAGAAGAAGTTGGTTTTCAAAGTTTTTTAAGTCCAGTCTGGCTATTTTGGGAGAGAGAATCTGTCCTGCTGTACTGAATAGTCTTTCAATAAGGCCATGGGAGGCACGTACTTTATCTTCTGGCCAACTTTCCTCGGTGGACTCCATTTTGGGTGTGTTAGCGGTGCTGCGGGTGCGCCCAGCTCAGTGACATATATACTAGAATATATGTCATTAGCCTAGCTCTTCTTGAAGGTGAGTCTAACGTTACCTGCCCACTTTGCAGTGACTCAATGGACCAACTCCCCTCTCGTCATCGGTTACTTTCAAATTAACGAACAAATAAAAAAGTTGCAACATGAATGTAACTTGTAACACAACGCATTATAGAAATGTAGTGTAGTAGAAAGTACAGATACTTAATGTAAAATGTAGTGGAGTTTAAAGTAAAAAGTACCCATATTTAACTCTACTTAAGTAAAGTACAGGTACATGAAAAGTGTACTTAAGTACAGTAACGAAGTAACGAAGTACTTGTACTTCGTTACATCCCACCACTGAAAATAATCAAGCGTGACGCGAACCGAGCCTTTGGTCCAGTTCCTCAGCGGTCACTGAGCGGGCCAGGCCACCAGGAAATGGCCCGGTGCGGTTGCTCCTGATGTCCAGTCGGCCACTGTGCAGTAGATTTTCTTGTGCGCTGAGAATGTGCGAACAGTGTGCAATTATGCAAGCACACAGCTTATCTACTGTTGCGAGACCCACACTATTTGTTTTTTGTTACATTTCTAGATCAAGAGATAAACTGTGTTCATGGATGCATGAAGAGGTTTTCATTAGAAAAGTTTGTTTTTATGCCTTCTTTAATTACAGGCTACTGGATTTCACACTCTGTCCAATGTTTTCAAATATATTCAGTAAATTACACACACACACACATATATATATATATACATATATATATATATACACACACACACGCACATATATATATACACAGATACATATATATATATATATACACACACACACACATATATATATATATATATATATATATATATA